TCCTCCGTGGGCCCCCGCCGCCCCCCCCCCCCCAGCCGCCGCAGGCTCAGACCCGCTTGTTTTGCCCCAGGCTGCTTGCTGGGCTGGCACGGGGGCGCTCGGGGCCCGGCAGGGTCACGGGCTTGGCGCGGGGGTCTCTGCTCTGTGGGCAGCAGCAGTTCTGGGTGCTGCCTGAAGGCTACACGGTGCACCCGTCCTCTCTCACGGCCCGGCTGACTCGGTGCCCGTGGATCCCGCACAGCTGCCGTCACGCGGCCGCAGGTGCCAAGAGGGGGCAGGGGCAGGCGGCAGCGCTGATGGCTCGGGGCGCGCTCGACATCGGTGAGCCTTCCCAATTCCTGAGCGCGCGTCAGGGCGCTCAGTCACTGCCCTTGCCTTACAAGCAGGAACTGACACAGACGCCCCTTGGGTCAGTTGTGTGCCCTGTGATGGCCTCCCGGCGTTTGTGGCAGCACAAGTGCCACTTTGCTGCAATAGGCTTGTGTCAGGCCTGAAGCGCAGAGGTACCTCTTCTGTGGAAAGAGAGATCTCCTGGATAAGCGCGGGAAGCCCACACTTCCGACACTCCTCAGCGGTGCCCTGCCACGAGTCGCTTGAGGAGCATACCAGTGACACATGATGACCGGCTCCTCTCCTAGTCTCACAGGTTTGGGGAGACGCAGGAGGACCCACCCTTCCCCATGCAGACCAGAGGACTCTTCTGCCCTTGCTAGGCGATTTGGATGACCTCCCTCCTGTGGAGACAGCCTGGTTCAGAGGTGTGCTGCTCCCCTCCCTGTACCTTAACCTTTAGGGCAACTTGCTCACAAGGCCTCTGTGGTTTCCTTTCAGCTCTGAAAGAAAACGACCAGTGATCTGTCTAGCTTTCTACTTCCACAGCATTTTCACTTTTTCCTTCTTTAGTCATGCAGGCGGGCGATGAGCTTTGTGAGTCTTTCTTTTGTAGGACCTAATGCTCTTTGGTGAGTAAGCTATGTAATTCTGCCCCTCTCCCCCTGTCTGAGTATCTAGATACTCATTAAAAAGTTGTCTGAGAGATCTAGCTTCACCATGAAATTTTCCTTCATAAATGACTAGTCCTACAACCTTCCTCCTTCCCTCCCTCTCTCTCTCTCTATATATATTTTAATAAATCTTAGCAGATTTTTGCTGCGAGAGTGGCAGCAGGACACTACCTGTTTTGAACAATAGTCAGGGGCTTTTAAGCCTGCTGTGAAATACAAGCAACCATCTTTCTTGGTTGGGTTAGAGGAAAAACCCAATAAACTCCATATACCCGTTTAGGTACTCTGTTGTCTGACTCACCTGAACACCTTAAACCGAGGTAGGAGACAGAGTTTGCAATGACAAAACATATCTAACAACTTCAGGACATTCCTGGGGTCCTTGCTCCTGATTTATTGCGCAAAAATGCTATCCTGACTAGTCAGGAGGGTGACTCTTTAGCGAGAACGAGGGGAATGGGGTTTGCACACTGCACGTATGCAGTCCTCGGGGTGGACAGAACGATTGCTAAAAAAGGCACTGGTCTGCTGTCTGAAGAATCCTGAAGCCCACTTTGGGGTACCCGAAGCCCCGGCTTCAGCTCTTAAGTCGTAGCCGAATCTCTCCCGGGGCTCCGCCGCCGTCGCGTTGCGTGGAGAGGCCCGAGGAGGGGGCGG